AAAATGAATAATAAAACGCAAGCTTGTCAAAGTTTCCGCTGACATTTGATGTCAAAAATCAGGATTGCCATCTGAAGAACTTTAATCAGGGCCTACTCTCATTTATTTTTTTTTGATCGCACGGTACAAACAGAAAAAATCTTAACTGAGACATCCAATATTGCAAAAATCCAATTTCCTAATGAAATAACCAATTTTTTCTAGTGAAACTATTATATTATATCATTAAAATTTTACAATAAAAGTTAAAATTTCCACTTTTAAAAATTTGTTTTGCTTCAAATACATTTACTTTACCGGTAATATGTTTTATTTAAAAAGTAAAGCCAGTATTCTACTGGAAATTTGAACAATAAGCAGATGTCGGTCTAAAATTACTAAGTAACTAAATTTATAAATTTTGTACATTAGGTCACTCTGTTTACTTTTTATTATGTGAGCCTTTTTGTACCCACTGATTGTCATAAAATCCCATTATGTGCAAAACAAGTAATGTTTTTATTATTATTATTAGCTATTATTGTTATTTTATTTTATTTATCACTTACTTAATTAAGTTTTATGATAAGCATTTGAGAAGCCGTTACTATAATTACTAATAATATTTGGATTTTGGATTTTGTGACATTAGTATGTATAATTATTATTATCCAGTATTATTACTTGTAGAAGTCATAGTAAAATAGAAAAAAAGTTTAATTAGAAAGCTGTTCAAAAAAATATATCTATTGACTAACCAGAGTTTTTTTTCATTCAAGATATTTTTGAAATTTTCTAAGAGAAAATACTTTAACTTGGCTTAATAAAAATTCTACAATCAGCAAAGTCCCTATAAGTAAATCTTCCCAAAAAGCTCGTAGAAAAACTAGACAAAAAGCTTTTTTATAAACGCATGCATACTCAAAGATCAAGTCCGATTTCCAGAGTGACCGAATAAATCTCGTCACTAAAAAGCATATTTCGCGTCTAAATCTGGTATCAGCCTCGTTTTATTATCCCACCGGCAGTATTTTAAGAGGCATAAGCTACGATCTGCCGACACATTTTTCACGCTTTCTGCTGTCGCGCTTACTCCCATAATTTATAGTTGTGCGGTCCGATAGTGGACGCTCGGCTAGCAGGGGGCCACGCTGGCGGGTGTTCGCGCGAAGAAGTAGCCTGTGCGAGGCCCCCACAGGGCTCATCTCGCCACCCCGACACTATTAATGGGTTTATTAAAAGACTTTCTCATTGCGGACATTTCTCAAACTGCCACCGATGCAGAGAGCGCAAATGCTAAAGATTTTATTTATTTATTTAATTTTTTGTTGATTTTTTGAAGAGGGATTTGAGCTGTCAAAAGGACGTATTGTGGTCGTGTCCAAGACACTCAAAGAGTTAAAATATTCACATGTCACCTTCGAAAGAATGCCATTCTCGGAGATTCATTCATCTCGGACTGTGTCATCGAGAAAAGTCACTTTTGAATTGAGATTGATTGAGTTTGTTTTCTTTGGATTTTAAAATTTGATGCATCGTAATCGGATGCGAGACAAAAGAAATTTGTTTAATAAATTCAGTATCAGTTCGTTGTGATTTTACTTATCATACAATACTAATTTGTCGTCACCTCGATTTTGATGCGTCAGATGAAATATTTATATCATAGGGTAAGTTCGGGAAAAACAGCTTGCAGTGTGAAAAACATTCCCGAAGCTACTCTACCATTATTTATTTGTTGAATTTCTCCAACGAATACCGGTTTGTTTTATGACACGATAATTTCTTGTGTTTTATGAGAAAATAAATCATTTTAGTACCTGGTTATCTTGTTAACGGATAATCGTCACTTCTATATTTTACTGCACGTGTAGTTTCTTATAAATTAATTATGAGCTTTAAGAAGTTTCTATTATTATATGCAAATCACACATGAATCTGTTTTAAATTCAAGAAACACGAATATTTCCAACGGCTACTGCCTTTATGCACTCTTATTCAATTTTGAAGTGTTTATGTTCGTTGAAAAAATGAAATAATAAGTAGTACGATTTTTTTAAGAGTAGAAGCCGGAAACGCCACTTATGGGTTATAAAAGTGGCCGCACCTCCGAAATTCATATATTATAATTTATTTTTATGTCCATTGTATCTTAACATTCATAATGCTATTATAGCTTGTAGGAGACTTTTATTTCTAGGAGGTAATTTATTATCGTAAACCTACTTAACTGAGGGATAACATTCGATCAAAAAATTTAAAAAAGCTGGTTAAAAATTAGTAGGTGAGTGGTAAAACCTTCACTCAATAACGGGAAAACTCAGTTTCAATAAAAAGTATTTGTATATACAGAGTCGCCAGAACTCGCGCCCCAAAGAAAAAAAAAGCCAAGGTCTTTAAAACTTTAAAATTAAGTTGGCAACATTAAAAAACAAAGACACAAAATCTTATGATAAATGGACAACTTTCTTATCAAGAATGAGTTGTGTTAGTAATAATAATGTTTCTACCTTTAGTTTTTTTGTAGTTCTTATATTGACGTTTGAGACTTCAAATTTCAATAGAATTTTAAAGAGAAATATAACCTACAATTTTGCTTAATATACAGTGTTGCAAACACCTCCAAATATGAAAATGCTCTTAATTCTGTGGCCAACTCAAACAACTCTACATTTTTCAGTACTATCAAATGATCCTCGTTACTAACATAATCTTAAAGTCATACAACGCATAAAATTGGTAGCAGATTTTTTCAAAGATGTTTCCGTTTTTATTAACAATTTTATTAAAACATTTGTTGATTTCATCCAAAGAGTGTAAAATCAGACTGTAAATCTCAACCATTTTTTTTATTCCTCTCGTTAAATAAAATACCTACTATTTTTTTAAAATATTTTTTTAATATGTTGTATAAACTTGAGAAATCGCAAAGCCAGAAAATAATGAATGTTTCATTTCGACTTGTTAGCTCAATATGTATTTAAAAAAAATCGTTGAACCGAAGTAGAAAATAGGAAAATGAGAGATTCTACATATAGGTACCTACTTAGTATTTTGTTCTAGATATACTATGTTCTTCCTAAAATTAATGTTTTGTAGGGAAAACACAAGAAAAATTAATATTTTGAAACTTAGAAGGTAGTTTTTCAGTGAACGTTTTTGACAATGATAACAATAGATAAGAAAGGGTAGAGATTCTTAATCACCAAACAAAGAAGTTTGATGCGACTTTTTTGTTAACAACAGAATATTAAGTTTCTATTCTATACCTACATATGAAAAAAAAGTTTGAAGAGTTTAGACAAATTTCTACTTTGATTTATTTATTTTATATGGCATAAATAAACTTAATTTAAAGCTTTAATTGCTTTTTAACATAGATATGTAGATATTATTTTGTGAAATATTATATTTTATCTATTCTTCCTTCCGTCCTTAAAATTGTTCATAAGTTACTGCTTTAATAATAATCATTATTAAGTGAAGCAGAATAGGTGTTGTAAAAAACAAATACAACTTTAAAGAAAAAAGAAATAAAAAAGTAAGATAGATTCAAGAATAGTTTCCTATCTGAAAATTATTGTTTTAATAATCTTTTTTTGTCAAAAATTATTGTTCATTAGGTACATTAAAAAATAATGAGAGAATAAAAATAAATAAATAAAATAACAAAAACTGGGCCTTGATACCCGAACTTACCCTATATTTTATTAAACAGATTACTGTTATTAATAAAGAAATTGAAAAATAGAAGTTTACAAAAAGAATAACTGTAAGTATATCTTTTAAAAAATAAAAAGAGAAAAAATAATAAGACAGTCCAAGAAAACTTCCACACAATTGTTTCTACATTTAACAAATTTTCCTTCAACAACTTTCAGTAAATTTCATTAATAAAAAAATTAATAAAACCTTTATATTTATTAAATTTAATTCTACAAATGGTTGTTTTTGACGTTATTATAAAAATTTTTCTAATTTTTATATAAGTATGAGGGTATATTTTGTATTTTATAAACTTTATAATTACAAAAGTAATTTAAAGCTTTAACAGTTAAGTATTACTTATTCTTCCTTTCTTATATAATTGTTGTTCATAATTTGCTTTTATGCTATTTTTCAGTTATCTGCTGGTGTAGCAGGATAAAAAAAAGTAAAAAGTAAAATTGAGTTAAATGAAAAATAATTGCCTATACTTATCTAAAAATTCATCTTTTTAATTAATCAAAAGACATAAGCTTAATTTTTATTGAAAAATAATCAAACAATAAAAAAATTATATTAAACAAAAAAGGAAAATAGGTCTCATTATTTTCGAACTTACCCTATTTTATAAAATAATAATAATTTATTTACCCAGCTTTGTCCGACGGCTAAAATCTTGAAAATATAAGTATAACAAATTGTAATAATAATAAATTATTATTTTTCTTAAATAATAAAATAATGAGCAATAAAAGATACAAATTATTCATTAATTAATATGTAAAGTATACAAAGTATACAATTTTACCTGACACATACTTTGTTTATCCAAATAGGTATTTTTATAGGTATTAATTATTTAATTAGCTGAAACCAGTGTCTATTTTAATATTTTTGTTAAATATAACTATTTTATTTATTTACCCCATTTACAATAAAAAATAAATAAACAACCCAACCCTCTTATCATTAAAAAGTCAATGATTTCTTAAATGCATAATCCGTACTTGACATTTAAAAAAATTACATAGGTACAACCTCTTCAAAACTTTTGTAAAGCATTAGAGAGAATTATTATAACAACTTTTACAAAATTTTGGATCAGATTAATTAACCAAGAGTTGCTGTAACTTTATTTCTGAATGTCAATTACATATGATGACTTTTTGATGCATGTTGTATAGAAAACAAAGTGTGCAAGTATTGCGTTCATTATAACTAGATCCATTGTTGGATTAAACTTAAATAAAGATTATAAGACAATTAAATCTACTTTAATACAATAATGTTTTGCGAGTTTTTCGAAACGTCTTTACCTTCATTTTCAAAAATCTCTTTTTCCAGGTGTCCTTCAGCCCTCCAGTGCGCACATAAGTCTCAAAATATTGCACAAAAAATTTGCAAGTGTTTAAAAAGTCCCATTTCACCACCACACTGTTTCCTCACCCAGCCCCAAAAAACCGTCAAGCAGGGTCCAAACCTCCACAATAAATTTTGAAATCAACAAGAAGCATACTCTTCGATGTTACCAATGCAAGCGTGCGCAAGTGACTGCCCAGTCTGCCCGGAACTTGCTACTAGAAATCCGATGCTTGTAGCTATCCTCTTATTGGTCGATTGTGAAAACCGCCGGCGTAGTTTGTCCTGAAATCGGGCGGGTTTTCAGACGCAAGACCCGCCTTACCATATAATATTCAATATGATCGTTTGCGGTTGCTTTTTGTTTGCTGGGGAAAAGGTAATGGCATTGTGAAATGTGACATCGCGCGCAAGACTGCCCTTATAACGGCGAACGAGGCGTTTTTGATAGTACCAGGAGATGGTTATTTCAGAGTTTGAACAGTTGTCTCAGTTTCAACGGCGATAAATTTCATTGAGTTTTGTAATTATAGCGAGTGTCATATTAGAGTTTGAAAACGTGTTTGATTTTGCCACCGGCGTTGTGATAATAAACGTCAAAACTGATTTAGCACTGGGACTACAATGGAAGTGGAGCTATTGGAATGCAAATTATTTTTGTGTTTGGAAGCAGACAAGTCGATGCTGTCTCTTGATACTTTATGAATATCATATAAAAAAATGCAATCAACGATGGAAGAAATAATATATATTTTCCAAACAATTTTATTACCAGAGGTGGTTTTTAACTATTATACTACTATAATATAATACGTTGAAAATTACAATAACGAGAAAAAAACAAAAATGTATGTGGAACGAAAAAAGCAAAAATAAAAACACAAAAGCTGCAACACGAGAAAACTACGACCATAATACTTTAAGAACATTGTTATAATAAAATAATATAAATAATATGATATAAATATAAACTTATGCTGTGACAAAATGAACATTGTGAAACAGTTTTCAGACATAAAATATTTTACAACCACTAGCAAGGGATTCATTATTATTCTTTTGATTTTTCAGTTTTTACAACTTTTGTCAGATCTGCCACCAAATTGTGTTTCAAAATTCTGAAAGTTTGAATTTTTCTTCCTAATAAATCATAAGTTTAAATTCAAATTTAAAAATTCAAGTAAATTTATAAATCGTATCTATACCTACCTATCAATTTCTGAATAAAACGCACCCATTTAAAGGGTGATACTCTTCACTTCTTTCTTTTTCTTTTCTTAATATTGAATATTGGTTTCACTTTCTGTGTCAGCATTGTAAAAAATTGTGTTGGTCTTCTTTTCCAAATTAATACTTTATTTTTGCACCATAAACCATATTATTTTTTAACCAAGAAACAATGAACGTTTGGAAACCTGATTTATCACTATTACAAGAAATAAAATATTTCACAACCAGCAGTAAAAAAGTCATTATTCTTTTCACTTTCCATAACTTCCCTTACATAATAATTATATAGGTAACAGACCTGCACCACCTGTGAAATTGTATTAAGTAGGTAGATATAGAACTAGGTAATTACTAAAATCTCATCAATTTAGTTACAAGTAAATAAAAAAATGTTGTTATTGCTGTTCCTAGGTAGGTAGGTATACTTACCTGATTATATTTTTAAGTTTTATTAAATTATATATCGATTTTTTGATTCAATGACAAAAATATTGAAGCAGTGGTACCCAACCTTTAAAATGCAGTAAGCAGACCACCAAGGCAAAAGTATGATTTGTCGTATGGACCCCCTTATAAAATATACAAAAATTTCTTTTTAAAATGACTCTCGTTTTATTTCACGCACTATTTTCGAGAAAAAACAAGATTTTCTTAAACTGTGTAGCGACAGTAATTTCAAAAACCAACCCACGCAGTGAGTTTTTTTTTATGTAAAATCGAGTTATCGCTCCTTTAGGAAGCATTTTCAGACATAGATTCATAGAAACTTTTTTTCTCATATTGATCTAAGGAACGATTTCAAAATCTTTTAACGATTTTTTCGGACACCTGTAGATATATCTAACTAGAAATAATTAGTATATTGGGTGTTAAAATGCCATTATCGCTCATTGTTTAGTTATATTTTTATTTTGAATGATGAATTCGCAGACCCACTTTTGATGTCAAAAATGTCACACGGACCACCGATTGAGAACCATAAAGTATATAGGTACTCCTCTAGGTATAGGAATGGTTCGTTTACAATCGAATTTTCATGGATAGCTTTGACGCCAAATTAAAAGAAAAACACCCGATATATCAAACAATCAATGTTCTAAACAAAAATTCACTATTGAAATTGTTGAGTTTTTACATGATATGTAGGATATAGTATTGAAGTTGCCACATATTGAAAACATAAATTTTGAAAATACCTAGACATCAAAATTATGCATAACAAAGTAGCATTAATGATTCCAAAGATATGAGTTACCTAACTAACACATCCATTTTTTGGCATATCCAACTTAAACAATTCTAAGGATTTAAACTTTTTTTTTAAAGTGAACCTTTATAGGCAAATTAATAATGAAGAGCCGACAATTTATTCAAAAGACATTTTTCTCCCCTTCTTTTAGACAAAAGACATAAAAAAATTATAAAAAGCATAATAAAATAACAAAATAGCATTAATGATGCCAAAGATATGAGTTACCTAACTAACACATCCGTTTTTTGGCATACCCAACTTAAACAATTCTAAGAATTTAAACTTTTTTTTAAATTGAACCTTTATAGGCAAATTAATAATGAAGAGCCTAAAATTTATTCAAAAGATATTTTTCTCCCCTTCTTTTAGACAAAAGACATAAAAAAATGATAAAAAGACATCTTATTATTGGATTATTTAAACACTTTCATAGACAACATATTCAAGATTCTGATTTCCATTTAGGTATGTCTTAAAAATATGTGTGAGGTACAACTGTGGTAGGTAGGTATCGTAATCTTATTGCAGGTAATTTATGATACGACCGATTTTGACTCAATGTCACAATGATCACAAAATATATTACCAAAATACGATACTTTGTAAAAACTGAACTTCTCAAAATAAATAGCGTTTGAAGTATAAAGGCAGAATTTTTGGGTTTTGAAACAGTTATTAAAAGATCCTGAAAAAAGGTTTTGTTCACTTTTTCAACAGAAATCCCAAAAATTAAAATTGCGATATAAATGTTAACAGTTAATCTGAGGAAAGTCGAGTTTTTTGGGGCCTGCCCCTGATGCCCAGCCCGTCACAGCGGAACGAATCCTTTTCCTATCCAAACACCTCACCAACCTTCCGTAAAATATGAATGAAACTGTTCTTTACCTGTTCTTTCATACCCCCCAACCGAGTCACAATTTGTTCTCTCGGGATTTAAAAAATAAAATTGTATAACAGGACACAGAACTGAATTGATAATCCAACCACGCTTCATTATCCTCTGAAATTCAGGAACTATCGGAGATAATTCGAGCGAAAGCGACACGCGACTTCAGGAAATGTTACATTAACTATGAATTAATAAAGCCCATACTATTTACGTTACACTTGATTTATCGTCGCGCACTTGCCTCCCACTAAGCGTATACAGAGTGTTTAACAAGGCGAAATACGTATGACACGCGTCGTCATGAGAAACTTGAAGAGGGTTGCGGACAACAATAAATTGAAATCGGATTTAATTCTGTGTGACTGTTGGAGAGTCAAAAAACTCATTTCAACTTATTAATGAATTCTCAGAATTGTGCAATCCGTTTTGTTTCTAATTATTTTAATCGATTAACAACAATTGTTGTTCCCAACGTTTCAACTTGTTTTATAATTGCACACAATAACCGCTAATTGCGTGCATGTGAAAATATAACAAATGTAACCACCGATTTAAACAAATGTGAGATACCTAAATAATATTTGTGAAATGGATTTATCCAGTGGAGTTACAACAAAGTTCTAAGTATATTTGACTGGTTTACAAAACATTTAATTCAATTGTGAAATAAATTTACTAAATTCTGTAAATCAGCCCCAAGCATGGGCGCCGACTACATGTTTCTAATCATTTTTTAGTAACGTTGCATTCTTCTTCTAAAATCACTTTTACTGTCATAAATGTGTTAAATTTTCTATTTTTCTATTTTTCCCTTGAGAAAATGGGTCAAATTCATCGTTTATGTTATTTTATTTTGTTTTTCCATTTTTGAAATTAATTCAAAATTAAGCTTTTCAGTGAAAAACTCTTATTCTTATTATCTCAAATACTTTAAAACGACAAAACATTCTATATAAACTTGTAGGTATACAGGATGCGCTAGAACTCGCGCCTCAGAGAAAAATTTCAAGTAAGATAAGACAATACCAGGAACATGAAAATGTTTAAAAAATTCTATTTTTCAAAAAATTTTGACATTTATTTTTTGACATTTAACATTTTTTATGTCTATTTAACGATACTGATGTTCTTGTATATGTTTTTTCAGAATTATTTAGTAAAGGTACAAAAATTTTGCCTATAAAAGCCACAAATAACATTAAAAAGAGTTAGATTTTAGGATACAGCTTCCTTGATTCCCCTTCTAATAGCCTGTAGCAAAAAAACTTAAAAAATCATTTTTCCAACAGAAATAAATCGAGTCAAAGTGCAAAATTTAATCTCTCATAACTTCGAAATTTTTATAGACACTATTTTTTAACATTTTTTTCCATATTCCTGGGATCTTACCTTATATGGCATTTTCTCTGAGGCGCGAGTTCTGGCGCACCCTGTATACTATTCTAAAAAACTTTGAGAAAAAACAAACTTATTAATTTTTTTAATGATTTTTGAAAAATTGTAGCTCAATTAAAATGGTCGTATCTAGATTTTAAAAAAGCTTCAAGATTCTAGTCTTAAGATCTTTTGTCAAAAAATTTTCGAAGCCACGCTTATTACCTATGTAATCCTAAGAAATAGCGCGGAAAAAAAAATTTTTTTGGTCTACAGACTTGGGAAAATTTTTCTTATAGTTAAATCAATGCATGGACCGGATATCTTGTTCATTAAATTTCAATTTACTTTTTTTATGTTGTCTCTACGTCAATTTGCCGCTGAGATAATTGACTTTTGATCAAAAAAGTTCTTCTTATCTTTGATGATCAATATCTCAG